GGGAGCGGCCACTGCACTCCAGTCTGGGCAACAGAGTGAGACTCCAACTCAACAACAACAACAACAACAAAAAAGCAATCAGTAAGGGTCTAGCTCTATTGCCCAGGCTGGAGTGCAGTGGCACAATCACATCTTGCCGCAGCCTCAATCTCCTGGGCTCAGGTGAACCTTCCACCTCAAGCCATCCAAGTAGCTGAAACTACAGGTGCTTGCCACCACTGGGCTAATTATTTTATTTTATTTTGTATAGATGGAGTCTCGCTATGTTGCCCAGGCTGGTCTTGAACTCCTGGGCTCAAGTGATCCTCCCGCCTTGGCCTCCCAAAGTGCTGGGACTGCAGGTGTGAATCACAGCACCCGGCCTCTCCTCTCCTTTCTCTTATAAGGACACTTGCCATTGGGCATAGGACCCACCTGCAAAAGCCAGGAAGATCTCACTTTGAGATGCTTCATTTAGTTACATCAGCAAAGTCTCCTAAAATTTGCAGGTTTCTGAGGTTAGGACATGGACACGCCTTTTTGGGGGCCACCTTTCAGCCCACTACAGGCAGCAACAGAAAGACACTTGTGGAGCTTTGTGGGTGGTGTTTTGATTAAGTACTAATGATCTCACTTGGCAAAGACTAGACTTCTGTGGACCCAGCTTTCTTTGGGCCCTTTTCTTGTGAACCAGTGGGCTTTTGGCCACATTAAAGGTTAAAAAGAGACCCAAAGGCCAGGCACGGTGACTCACGCCTATAATCCCAGCACTTTGGGAGGCCGAGGTGAGAGGATTGCCTGAGCCCACGGGTTCGAGACCAGCCTGGGCAACTTGGCAAGACCTCGTCTCTACAATACATCAAAAAATTAGCCAAGCGTGATGGTGCATGCAGGTAGTTCCAGCTACTTGGAAGACTGTGGCGGAAGGATCGCCAGAGCCCAGCAGGTCGAGGCTGCGGTGGCTGTGAGCGTGCCACTGCACTCCAGCCTGGGCGACACAGTGAGACTCCAACTCAAAAAAAAAAAAAAAAAAAAAGAAACCCGAGAACAGGCACTTCTTGACATGAGAGAATTTCTGGTCATTTAGGACCAAGAGGGAGGCGCTGGGGCCCCGTGTTTTTTGATTTTCAGTAAAATACAGTGTGTTGTACGCAGCAGGGTTAGGGTTAGAGCCAACCTGACAATATACCAATACCTGAGCCCCGCCCCTGGTCACACCCCTCCCGGATCGACACGCAAACCCCGCCTCTCCCCGGTGCCCCCGGTGCCCCCCCCATGTGCAGGTCGGGGCTCACCCGCTCTCTCTCTGCAGCGGCTACGGATGCTGGGATCACTACTACGAGTCGGACACCCTCTTGCACTCCTTTCAAGTCCTGGCGGCCCTGCTGGACTCTCCGGTCACTCAGGACATCGTCTGTGACGTGGGGATGTAAGTGTCAGCTGAGCGTGTGGAAGGGTGCGCTCAGCACAAAGGCAAGTTCAAGGCGCGTCCCACCTGGCGCCATCCCGCAGTCAAGGGCACAGCCTACCCGGCGCCCTCCTGCGGTCAAGGACAGGACGGGACCCACCCGAGCGCCGTCCTGTCTTCAGCATGCAGAATGCACACACGTGCGGAGGCCCAAAGGCCTTCGATTGGCAGTGGTTTGTTGCCACCCGGTCTCCCCACAGGGCACTCTGGAAGCACTGTGTGTGAGGCTTCCAAAACGTCTGAGCACACGTGGACACGCGTGGCACAGATGGACGCACAATTGTTCGCCTGTTGCACACAGAGAGCTTTGTTCACTTCACAGGGCCTCTCGGGAAGGTTCCAAGTCCCTCCACCTCCACCTGCCAACCCTCCCTGTGGCACGGGTCCGTGGGTGTGGCTCCCCACAGAAGGACTCGGTGTGCTGTTGTGGTGTGTGTCTGTGCCGACTCTGCACAGCCTGTCCCCTGCCACAGGCCTTGGACAGTATCCCCTCCGTGGACCTCACACTGTGCCCGAATCCCCTCCTCTGACTCCCCTTTGTCTAGTGAAAGTGATGCGTTTAGCTGGGCTCGGTGGCTCAGCCTGTAATCCGGCGCCTTTGGGAGGCTGAGGTGAGTGGATTGCCTGAGCCTGCGGGTTCGAGACCCGTCTGAGCAACTTGGTGAGACCTCATCTCTAAAAATCAAAAAATTAGCCGGGCGTGGTAGCACGCACCTGTAATTCCAGCTACTTGGAAGGCTGAGGTGGAAGGATCACCGGAGCCCAACAG